GGCATTTGTACCAGCTGATGCTAACGGCAGCTCGGACTCCTCCAGCATGGATAGCAGATCTGCGGGGCCCCGCACCCGCTGTCTTTGCCGGCTGCTGGTCGCCGGTCGCACCAGGACTCCTTTGGGTGGGCGCACAGCTGCCCGTGCCACCCTGTTCTTGCAATTACAGCCTGACTGAACTTGTCTCTGGGAGTTGCTGCTGCTCAGTCTGGTGCAGAGCTGGGGGAATCTGGAGCTGCAGCCACGCTCCTCTCTTTGCCAGCCCACGGAGGTGCCCAGGGGATGTGGCCAGATGCGGAGGGAGGAATGGCAACCGTCTCTGTCTCTTGCTCAGGCGCAAGAGCTGCTGCTCTACAGTGGGCTGCGGTGGGGCTGATGCAGCTCTGGCATACAGCGAGGTGGCCAGCAAAAGCTGGGGGGCCAGGGGCCTTTCTGTTTGCTGCAGGGTGGACTGCAGAGCTGAGGTGACTTTGCTGTGGCCCTGTGCTCTCACAGGAGGGCTGTAATGCCTGACCCACGGGCAGCTGTGCTGTGCCAGGGCAGCTGGGGTCCCCCCCAAACTGGCAGGACTGCGGGGAGCCCCTAGCCCTGGAGGAGACTGCTGCTGGGAACCAGATGATGTTTAAGGTCCCTTCCAGCACCTGCCATTCTATGGGGATTGGTGCCGGTGCTGCCTGCTGTGGCGATGCACGGGTGTTGGAGCGCGCTGCCTGAAAGGAGCACATCCCCAGGAGCCCACAGCCCGTTGGTCACCCCACAGCCTGCAGCAGCCCCTCTTGGCACCCCACACGTTGGTGCACCCACCCAGAAGCAGTGGAGCCGTGACCTTGTGTCCCTGTTGCTGCCACCAGCCGTGAGCAACCGCCCTGCTTCTGTAGGGCACTGAGCATCAGTGGAGGGGGGGCATTGCGTGGACTGTACCCCTCCATCTGGCTGGGACAACCCTGTCTCAGCCCCTGTTCCTCGTGCTGCCCTGTGGAAAGACCCATGGGCTCAACACCCGCTGGAGCCAGTGTTGACCGCGGTGTGGTGACAAACACCCGGGCTGCCTGTGTGGCTCAAGGACACGGCATTCCCACCCTGCTCCTGCAGCTCACAGGGGGCAAGATGGACCAGAGAGTGGAGGGGAGGCCTACTGCCGCTTCTCACACCTCTGGGGACTGCTCCAGCCCCCTGGGCTCTTCCCAGCCCCGCAGGAGTCTTCAGGGGTGAGTCCCCAGCCAAAGCTCTGCACCCCACCCTGACTCAGCAGACCCCCCCCGCCAGCAGCCCCCCTCCCCGTACCCCACGGGCAGAGCCCGGCACAGGCAGATTTACTGGATGCCTAATAGGATTAGCGACTGCGGGTGGGCAGGCAGCTCTGTAATAGGTTTGCAATCTAATTAAACCTGCTGCTTGCTAGCTGAGCCCCAGCTGGCTGGAGCAGGGTGGGCTCAGGGGGCTGCAGGGGTAGCTGGAGGGGATGGCGGCAATGGAGTGGGCAGAGCAGAAGGAGAGGGGAGCTGGCGGTGGGTTCAGGCCTTTGCTGCCAGCATCTCTGGGCCTTGAGGGGGGTGATGGCCGCGAGGAGCCATGCTGGTGTGGAGGTGTGCTGGGCAGCCCGGGGCAGCCGGCCAGGAGCCCCGGTCACTGTGCAAGGGGGCTGGGGCACCTGCCACCCTCCTCCTCCCGAGAGCTCACCCTCCAGCCCTTTCTCTGCCACACAAAAATGCCCTGTCTGGTCCAGCCTGGTGGCTGATTAAGAATTAATTTTTTAATTAAAAACATGACTCACTTCACCAAGCCCAATCGCATCCCCCTGGCAGTAGCAGCCCCCAGAGAATGAGGAGCTCACCTTTAGCTTTCGCATCAGCGATGAGCTGTAGTTCGGTGCACACTGAGCACGGGGCTCTTGCTGCCCCGGCGTGCGCACCAGCCTGGCGGGTGGTCCTGCACAAATGCACCCCAATTTCATTGAGATGTCAGCGCTGCATGCAGCATCCTTGCCCCTCTCTCGTCCCCCGGCTCGATGCTGCAGGGCTGGACTGCAAACCCGCTGCTTGACAAGTTTGTGTAGACCCTACAATAACGGAGCCCAGTGAGCGTGTGGTGGGATGCACATTCCCCTTGCAAACAGCTGCACAGCCCCTCAGCGTGCCCCACGGCAGATGCCGTGCAGGTCTGGACCCTCGAGGGGTCCTGGTAAAGGTGGGCAGGGGTTTTAGACGGCAGAGCTGTCCAGGAAAGGCTGGAGGAGTCCAATGCTGGACTCCGCTTCTCCGGGATGCCGCAGTTGCTCAGTGCTGCTTCTCATTTTAATTAAACCTGCGACTGCATTTTTCATCTCAAGGACAAGCCAAAGCATCCGACTGGGCTGCTGGGGAGGGAGCTGAGCCAAGCAGCGCTGGAGGGGATCCAGGCACTCTCTGCCAGCCCAGCTCATCCCCTGGGGCCCACAGGCTGCCGACTGAGAGCTGGGAATCCCCCTCCACTCTTCACCCCCCAGCCCCAGCAGGACAGAAACCCATCCACCTGCCCACAGTGGGGGCACAGCTCTGGGGACATTGCCGTGCAGTGCAAGTACAGGACATGTAGTCTTGCAGGATTGAAAGGTTTGTGGTCAGTGCTCCTGGCACCGAGCATGTTGAAGCCTCTCTTTCCTGGTGGGACACCCAGCACAGGGTCTGCAGCACCATCTCTCCCACCAAGCTTGACTGGGAGCTTGCTGGGACACCCTGTGGGAGACTCCCCATCCCCTCAGCCACCTCCCCTTCATTGTGGGATCAGGAGCACTGGCCTGCCCATCCCTACCGGGCTGGATGAGCTTTGCCATTGTGATGCCCATGGTCTCCAGCCTCGGCCCCTTGGGCCTGTGCTTGGAGCGAAGGCTGGATTCTGCCTTCCCCCCTGCTCAGAGGGTTGAGGTCTCTCTGACTCCCACCCCTCCCAGTGTAAACAGACTTCCTGATGCTCCATCCCTGCCTCTGCCAGGCACAGCAACCGCATAACCATGGCAACAGTGTCCCTATGACAACCAGGTACATCTGACATCCCCATGGCAACCGACTCCCCGAACAGTCGGTGAACAGCTTGCCTTCCTCGCTGCTGAGGAGGGTGCGGGGGTTCGAGCCCCACCAGGGCAGGTGGCTGCAGAGATGCGGGGTAAGACACAGCTGGGAAAGGCTTTGGCTGGGTGCCTGGGGCAGCACGGCCTTCGTGGGGAGGCTGCATGGGACGGAGGTGATGCAGGAGAAGAGGGTGGCCCTGGAGAGAGCATCGCCCTGGCTCAGCCTCCTGCGTCCCAGCCCCGTCCTCCCTGCTGGGCTGTCAGTGCCGTCGGGCCGGCTCTCCCTGCTCTGACACATGCTCCGTGGAAATGCATATGCCAGAGGCTGGGACTGTGCTTTCTCCCACCACCTCCTCCCACCCCTGCCTCCCACCGCAGGGATGCTCTGCCCGCTGCC